GGGTCTTGGATGGTGGCAGGACCTGTCCTGCGAGCCAGCAGAACTTGATGCTTGAAGTACACTCGAAAGGTCACAGGTTAGCCAAGGAGGCCTTTCCTCCGGCTGTGGTCACGTGAACTATGTGTACGGACAAGAAGATTGTAAGCCCTGCTTCTTGCGGTAGGGCCCCTTCCCCTCCATAGTGAACTATTCAACCTATAACTATAGGTATTGACTAATGAAAGGGAGATTCAAGGTTGGGCTGGTTGGCGAGGTGGTAAAGCCAACAGAAGCTGCTGCCCCAATATATTTCTCCTTTGTTATTTTTGTAACACCTGCGTGTTTGTTTTTAACAGGTGCCCTATTGCTATGTCCAGAATGGATACACTTGTTTCATATGGCGGGATTTTTCCTGATCGTAGCTTTGTATGTATACAACGTTTTTATCACTAGGGCCACGCTATGAGTTGACATGCAGGACTTTTGAAGCAACAGAAACTTTTTTATTGAAAGCTTTTATTTCTTTTTTGCATATTCAGCAAAACCAAGTAGAATCTCCCAGGACCTCCCCCTTGAGATTATGATTTTACCATTCGCCATGAAAGGATTATGTGCTTTTAGACTGCTTCCAGTTGTGAAGAAAAAAAATAGCGCTTTACTTTTCGCTCGGTGCGCCACCACACCAAGCACAGCGCATGCCCAGAAGAGGCATCACGTGAATTTGACCCAGCTTGCCCAACATCTGTATAGGTCAGGTGCTTCAGTGAAGCTTTTTGGTGCTTTTATGTAATAGCTGATTGAATCGGCTATTAGAGACAAGTGCCAAAAAACCCAGTGAAGCGCCCGATCTATACAGACGCTAGGGAGCCAGGTCAAAATAATGTATTTCCTCTTCCGGTAGTGCTGGGGGGGGGTGGCGGGGGGAGGTCAGCATTTTGAGGTTTTTTCCATGCCTGTGAGTGGCCTTAGTGACTTTGCAGCTACTGATCAATATTCAGTTCGTATAAACTTTTTTTTTGTTAAACTCATAGTATTTACAGAATATTCATTGGAGGGATGTGTTACTTTCCTACCAGACTTGACTTGGATGTATGTGGAACTAGCTTTCATTTAGTTAATGACATGTTTTTCCCATGCAGCGGATTAATGCGTGGTGACTTACGTACCTGTATGTCAACCATTTCCACCAAAGAGCTTCAGCTTGTGTCCGGGGAACACCTGTCTGAACTTAATTGAGACGCATCCTAACCCCTCCTCCTGATAGCTCATTCAGTCCAAAATTCAGCATTGATTTTTAGTCATTATTGCTTGAGTCGTATTTATTTACGAGTTTCCAAAGTGATGTCAGATTCTTATTTAGAGGCTGGATTGCTGATTCCCCATTGGTATAGTTTCATTTGGCTCATTTCAGGCAGGAATAATCAAGGAAAACTAACTCCTTGTCATTGTTGGTCTTTGCCCCCTCCTTCACTTTCCATCTAAAGTGCATCCAAAATGGGTGTCTACTAGCAGCTTACTCGGTGCTCTGTAAATGAGGGATGTTGTTGTGTTCCCGTCCCGCTACCGCATGCACTGATGCTAATTAATCTATCCACGTCAGTATAGCTTCACCTTCCACTTAGAGCATATTTATACATGGAACATTTAAGGCTACCAGAGAAGAAATTCCAGCATCTCAGAGTGGCTTTGCTTTTACAACTACCGTAGATAAAGCTCTGGAAAATATACTTTAGAGACCAGTTCTATACTGGTGAGATGGGATGGGCCGAAATAGTTTAATAAGCATTTCCTAGCTGTGATTTCTATGATTAACCTCTTCTACCCAGTGGATGGTGTTAGGGGTTGCACTTGTTACTCAGGCGAAGCACCTGTTGACATCCAAATGAAGAATTAATTCTGCTCTCAACCACAGTATTGCTGCTTGGCCTTCCTTTTGCTGTTTTTCAAATAAACTTGTTTAAGAGGACCATACTGCTACTTTTAAAGAGAAGCATATTTATTGTGTTTACAGTATAACTGGCAGTGCTTTCCAACTGTACCTTTCCTTGTAAATTAAGGCTATTTTTAGCTCAGCTAAGACTCCTCCCTCCCCCACACTTTTTTTTATTTTATTTTTTTGTAATGAAGAACAAATATAACACAAATGCAGAGGAACCTAAATTGGCTGCAGTGTAGTGAGGTGCAATTGCAGTGCAGCTTGCAAACCGGGAGGGTACTTTTTGATTTTTATATATTGTTGTTGTGGGCTCTTTATTTATTTTTTAGCAGACGGATGTAACTATAATTCACCCCCAAGCATGATCCCTGGTCTGGGCAAGAACTGAATTCCAATCCTATCAATCAATATTCACATGAGTAATTCCTATGGGTGGGAACAGCTGTGGCAAATAAAACCTGCTCAGCTGAATGAAAGTTTGCAGGGCCAGGCTCAAAGTCCTGCTTTGTATCAGATGGGTGTTAATTAATTGAATAATAATTTGCCTCTTTGTCCTTGACTTACTCCATTTTTTTTGCAGAAGGCTTTGGAAAGTGAGAGCGAGGGGTAGGGGGATGTTGCCGTACAAGTTTGTGTGCTACCAAAGCCAAGACCACAGGGGGTGCTAAATTTGGGACGCCACCTTTGTCCCAAGTTTTGTTGCTTCTGTCAGTTTAGGTGCAACCTTTTCCAAGTTGGTTCCTCATTTTGATTTTTTTTTTTTCTTCAGAATTAATCTCAAAGTATAATGCTTACTTGGTTGCCTGTTGGGTTGTAAATAACTGCTATTTCAGTTGATGATCTGTGCCTTCCCAACTGTGCCCTGCCTAGCCACACTGGGTGCATCTACACAAGATGCTTACTGCGCATTAGCCTAATGACACTGCACAGTAGTGTGTCACGGCAAAAACCGTGCTAATAGCCTACTGCGCAGTGTTGTTAGGCTAATGCGCAGTAAACATTACTAAAAAACCGTGCACCTGCACCACTGAGCAGTAACACTAGTTACTGCACATTCAGTTAGTATTTTATTAAGGAAGTACTAAACTAAATGGTCAGTATCTAAGGTGCATTAATGAACATGTAGATGCGCCCACCATGTATCGTCCAACAAAGATGCACAGACCTCTTGAGCAGTAACTCCCTCTCGTCAGGAATGAGAATCCGTTGTGATCTGGAGTTTTCATACAGCCATTTTCCGTAAAATGTTCCATGGCGTTAACCTGGGGCCTGGATGTCTGGATGACTTGTAACGTGATTTGTCATGTGAAACTTGTGGCAAAAATTTCAGTCCTGTGTCAGACTTTCCCAGGAGGATTCACTGTGAAGAATTTGCTAGGAAATTTTTGTTGCCTTTTTGGATAAGGAACCGAATCAAGTCACCCCGATGCAAGTGGATTATGGTCAAATATTGCATTTAGGGGATTACAGACGTTTTCACTTAGAGAAAATTTGTTTTCTGGTGTGAAGCCCACAGTATAAGGTACCATGTTATGACCATCATCCTTGCTATGCAGCTACCTGGGATACTTTATGCAGAGATTTTAAAAAAAATTAAATAGTCATGCATAGTAGCACACGCACAACACTTTCTCTCTCTTTCTACTTTAAAATGTCAAACGGCAAAGCCACACGCAAATGAATGAGGCTGCTTGAAAGATGTATGTTTGCCAGGTGATGGATTGTAGGTGAGGTTCCCAGTGCTTATGGGGATCTCTTCAGGCTACTCGAGTCTACTCCCAAATAGAAGATGTGTCTGATGTTAACCTAATGGTTTGGTTTCCAAATATCAATATGCCTTTTTTTTTTTACGTTGGTCTTTTTCTGTAGAATTTATCACTAACAAAAACCAGAAATAACAAATTGAAATAAATAAAAAGCTCTTTAAAAGAGAAGCCCAAAGTGTTCACACTGAGATGAGATGGTATTTAGTTTTAAATAACACTGAAAAAATGATTGCAGTTTGCTAACTTGGGTTTGCAGCTGTGGTCATGCTTAGGAGTGGGGATTACAACAGAAATGCTGGCGGACCCTGAACGGTAGTGGCGCTAGTGGGCATCACTGGAGTATCACGACTTTCTTTTAATGTGGTTCCTTTTACTTGATGTTAATGCAACTTGTTCCTTACTTAAAGTAATAAAAGGAAATGAAGACACATTCTAAAATGAAACTTGACTCTAATCCATTCATCATCTAATACTAGCCTCTTTATCTTTGCTGGTACCTAATCTGGTTAAATGTCCCTGTTGTAGGATTTTAGTGAAAATCCTCTATGGGGAATAGGGTTTTTTGCAATTGGATTACTCGCAGTAAATGGTCCAGCAGTTTGCTTGTTTCAGCTTAATTTTTTCTTTGTGATCTTGTAAGGGTAAGTTACAGTTCACCCTGCTTTTTTTTCCCTTTCATTCATTCATTCATCCTTTTTTATTAATATGATTTCTTTTATGCTTTTTGAGACGCACATAATTTTCCAGGACTGAAAATATAACAAGGCAAAACACCCACTCCTAATATCTGCATGGGTTTTTTTTTTTTTTCTCCAGCAAAGTTTTGATTTCAGTATCTTTATCTACATATTTGCTATGGATTGTATACCTCAGATCATAGTAGCACAAGGCATCTATAGCCAATTAATTTTATCAGTTTTCTCCAAATTGATAATTGATCAAGTCTCCTACGTATGTAAAAACATGCAGGCGTGATGTGTAGCGCGGACGAGAGAAAGCAATAGTTCAAAATTACAAGGAATTTTTTTATTTATTTTTTGTGGTCCAGGGCGTTTTACAAAGAATTGCCGATTCGAAGTGGGGAGAGAAGGGAAAGACATAATAGTCACTAAACATTCAGGTCTCTTGCTTTATTAAAGTCGGGGACTACCTGCATCTGCTTAAAGAGTTTATATGCATCACAAAAGGGAAATGTCATTGTCATGTTACACCTCTGGACAATAGATTTGTCATTTTGTTTCCAAGATTTTGGTGGCTGACTGTACAGCATTGTTAACACAGGGTGTTCCCCACCCCTTTTTTTTTTTGTCTCTTGACAGTCTAACAAAGTGCCAGTTGTGCAGCACCCACACCATGTACACCCTCTTACACCGCTTATCACATACAGCAATGAGCACTTCACACCAGGAAACCCTCCTCCACACTTACCGGCTGACGTAGATCCAAAAACAGGTAGGTGGGAAGTGGTGGGGTGGTCTTCATGTTGTTTCTTGGAGGGGGAAATGTGATGTGGTGGCAAGCCAACAGGCTTTGGAGGGAACCCAAGAGAGGATTCAACGGATTCCTAAACCAGTGAGCCTGCTGATAGAAACATGTTAAGCTCAATGTCATAAAGCACCTGGCCTCCTGCACTTGGGGTCGTTTGCAAGTGCATTTCTGTGTGAGCACACCCACTCGGTGGTAGTTAGCTCTCATAACTCATACTTGATTTGAATGAGTGACCCAGGGAGTTAAACGTGTACGTCCTGTGATCTGCACTTACTGAATTGCAGCTGGAATTTTAAAGGTGATGGGTTGCGGCCAGTTTCAAAATGAATCTCTCTAATTCCCCAAATCCCATCATTTCTGTGTCAGGAGTTCAGCCATTTTTTCTCTTATAACGTTGAATTTCCATCCGCCCTCCCCACTGCGTTCCAGCCACAGACTTGCAACTCTTTTCCCAAACGTAAGTCTGCCCAAGCCTCGGTTCAACTTGAAGGGCAATCTTCTTGAATACAGAGCGATGTAAAACCCTGCCTGGATTTATTGGTGTTGCAGAATAGAATTTACATGTTATTCCAGCTCTTTAAAAAGTCTCTGTTTAACAGGGGGGCCCTGGAGAAGTCAAATAGTGTCAATCTTCCTGCTCCAAGCTGCATTGAGTTCTCCGTGACAGTGGTTTTGTTTTTTGTTACTCCAGAGCCCCACTCCTTAATTAAAAAGTAAATTTGAAACTGAATTCACATCCGAGTTTGTCAAAAGAATTGCTCTGTGTTGTGTCTAACGAGTACAGATAATTTATCTGAACTCCAGCCCATGAATGAAGCAGGACATTAGCCGGTTTTCACTCCACATACCACAATTGAGGCCTCCTTTTAATTGTACTTAATGTTAACTTTGCACGGCTTAAAAGGAGACCATCAAGCCATCCCTGGGTATTGCAAGTGAATGGCATAGTCAACCACTTATTTAAATAATGGTAGTACAGGGAATAGCTTTTAAACGGTTATCGTAAAACATATGATTAACGTCTGTAGACTGTTTACTTTTCTTCTGTGAACAGTCTTTCAAGTGTGCAAATAGCTCACTGTATGGGTAAAGCCCAGTTAATCTGTTTGGTTTTTGTAATGGAGAAAAAGCAGTGTCTGCATGAAAATGTCACACAAGGAGATTTAATTTAGAGATTAAAAGCTTCCTCAGTGACTTAAAAAAAATAGTTTCTAGCAGTGGATACGATGCCCCTTCCTTTTAACGCTCTCTGTTTTAACTCTGCTTCTGCTATGCCATTGAGCTCTGGCTTGCCTATTTGAAGGACCCAGTCCTGTAACCGTACTCACCTGAGTAAGTCATCTCAACCTCAAAGGCAAAGGTTGCAAGGTCAGGCCTTAAACTTGGAGCTGAATTCCTTTAGTGCTCTGAATCCGCACAGCAGAGAGACTGCAGTATCTATTCCCCCTCATTTTGTCAAACACCCTGAGGACTTTGTCTTCTCACCTTCAGGATTTTAGTGTGGAAATATTAAAAAAGAAAAATGCAGATGCCCCAAAGTGGAACCATCTGGAAACAGAAAATATTGCAGCTAAAAGGATTTATTTTGGAGATTCCCAAGGAAAAGGGTTGGTAACACCAGCAAGGGGGTGCTTGTAGGTAGGCATATGGGGAGTGCATTTGGGGCTGCCTCCTTTTCAGCACCTTGGGAGGAAACCCGGAAGAGCCATAATGCAGAGGCCACCTTTTTAGGGGTGTTTTACACATTTTCCAGCACAAAAGGAGTTCTGAATTGCTTAGACAGTGCTTCAGTACCAGGGAGAGGGGAGAAAATTGTAACTCTCTCTGAATCTCATTTACTTATGTACCATAAAGTACATCCAGGCAGGAGGGGAGTAGTGTAGGTGAAGTCAACGGGCCAGCCATGGCAAACAAGAAGCCAAGTCATTACTATCTTTATGGTATAAAAGTGTATAAGAGTTTCTGTCTCTTTTTCCTTCCTTTCTGGACCCGATATTTATAATAAATTTTCCTCTTCCATAGGAATTCCAAGGCCTCCGCATCCTCCGGATATATCTCCCTATTATCCATTATCGCCAGGCACTGTAGGACAAATCCCCCATCCGCTAGGATGGTTAGTACCACAGTAAGGAGTTCCATTTTTTTATTTCCATTTTGGTTTATTTGATCTGCATAATTTGTTATGTGAAAAAAAAAAAAAAAAGTGTGTGTATGTATGTATAGAGATAAGTATATTTGCCAGCTGCCACTTTATGATGCGAGTGAATCAATGACCGCTCAATAAAGATTAAAAAGAACAAGGGCTCCAATACCAAGCCATATGGTATTAGGCAAACATGGGCATTAAAACACCACTTCAGATATTGTCTTAACTGTCTATTAGCTTGAAGCATGAATGGTTATCATAACCCCTCTGCTGAAGCAGATCCTTCTTTATAGATATCCTTTGGCTGCCTGGTCTAAATTTTAGGAGCCCCTAAATTTTGTTTCCATGGTGGCTTCTGAAGGCTTTCAAAGCTTAATTTTAATAGCACACATATTAATATAATACGTTATAATGATAACTGTATTGCCTTCTCTGTTTATAAGAGCCCTTGGGGGGTTTTTTCTGTGGAAATAGGTAGGGCCTTAATTTAAGTTGGCAAAAAAAACATTCTGGGATGAAATGTGGTTGAAAAAGTAGAAGTTGCACAATGGCTTGCTGAGGGGGGGGGATGCCCCAAGAAACATGAATTTGTGCAAGTTAAAAACTGGCCAAGAAAGAAAAGGGGGGGGGGGAAGTAACACTTATTTTTCTTCGACACACTGCTTTGCAATAGCAGCTCTTGTAGGGAGTAAGAATTCCTCAGGTGAAACACTATGAGTTTTTGGTTGCCCGTGCCTCAGTATTTCCATCTCTAAAATGGGCTCAATTCATTTTCTCAGTGCTTTTTTTGATGTTTAATTGATTAAATGCATTTCAGCCACATTGATGCCCTTGAACAGAAAGTTTCCTGCATTATTAATGCTCAGTCGTTTTTAATGCAAAATGTGTCTTTCCCACATACAAGGGTGTTGCAGGCCTCACTGCTTTTGAGAAGATTAGTGCTATTTATCTTTCAGGGCTAGGCTGCCCAGGGCCATGAGTACTTCATTGTACTCCAAGTTGTTTGACTAACTGTGCTGAAAATATATGTTTGCTAGTCACAAAGTTCAACACCTTCTTGAGGAAATAGGGTTTTTACTGGGAGTTGCACATTATGGTAGAAGGCAATCAACTTCATATGTACTGGTGGGCAGACAAGATGACTGGCCTCTCTTCCAGCCAAGGGCATCCCTGGACCCGAATATGCGTAAATCTGGATTTAGGAGATCCAGGACTTTGGTCTTAGGTGGGCTTCTGAGAAGCAGGCCATTATGTTTGCTTTACACATTGCCTCTCCGCAGAGGGGTATCAGGCAGTAAAGGGCTTTTCACTCATTGGGCTTGAAAATCGCCCATTTCCCAGCCCTCAACAGAAGGGCGAGTTTCAGCAGAAACCGGAGCCAGAGGCACTGTGCTGTCTAAATCAAGATCCCGCACATTTGAGGTCGTCTGTCACGCAGTAAGCCCACAGCAGGTCTAGGATGACAGGCTGCACACTGGTACACCTTGGCTGCTTTTTTTTGCTTGCAGTGCCGACTTGCAGTGCAGCCAACCCGTAGTGCGCTCATGTAGCTTCTTGGCTCAAGTTTGCGTGAGGAAGAAGAAAATCTTTAAAGACAAATCTATTCAGCATGTGGCAGAAGGCTGTACCGCTAAATCTGGGAGGTAGATGAAAATCCCTTTCCGTGCCAACCATTGCTAGGTGGGCCTTTATGCTTCCATCTAGTGGAGCCTTATTACATCTTGGCACAATAACGTTTTGTCTTAGTTGACATCCAGTGCATTCATATGCGTGTTGCTGAAGGACTTCGAGGCCACTTTTCCTAGGGCATATGGCAGTATCTGCCTGTGTGCTGGGAAAGTCTGCAACACCAGCTTATTCTGCAGGGCTTCTCGTTCTTCCCATAACTTAACTTGCAGCCTTTGTGCACACCATCAGCCTTTGTGCAGCCTGCATATGCAAACCGTCTTTCAAAATCGAGTCTTTTTTATTTTGTTTAAAGCAATAATATGGTCATCCGAGACTGTGTGAGGTTCCTTTCCTTCCTTTCTCCGTGGTAAAAAGTTTTGGCCCAGCTCACCTAAACTGGTCTGGATACCTCAAAGTATACACACACAAAAAAAAGTATCCTACCCACTCAGCTGATACATTTGAAGGACAGATAAAAAGAATTAGCCAGCACAGACAACCCTCTATCAGGAAAAGTTGTGTGTCTTTCATGAGGACGCTGTTTTGCATGTTGCTGTATTTTTTAATTATTGTAATGAGGTGTGATTGTCTATTGGTTACCCACAATACTTCTTGGGGACTCTCCCCCGGTAACTCTTGTCAACACTTGTTAATCTGACAAAAGGCTACAAATTAAGCTCTGTTAATTTAATGTTTTCTCACCGAGATCTAAATACCGAAAGAGGCCCAAAGCGCAACTGAAGTCCTTTGATTCACTGTACTTTATTTTGGTATAAATTTACATTCATTATTGTTTTCCTTTGGATGTGTAGCCCTCAATTAGTGTGATGGCTCCATTAAAGCAAGCGAGACTTCGCCTTTAATTATTACAACAAAACACCTAGTTTCAGCTTGGGGAGAGGGTCTCTATTGACATAAGCAGAGGTTATAAAATTTAATTAGCCATTCCTATCAGATTTATGGCATTCAAATTGTTCTGTGTTTCTTTCCTTTGATCCTTGCTGTACAATCCCCAAGATTTTTGTTCTGATCAAATGAGAATAAAGCTTACTGTGCAGAGAGAAGTTTTTTTTTTTTTTAATCCTTTTTTCTTTCTCTCACTTTTTTTTTCCCCCCCCCTTTTTTTCCCTCCCTCCTTCTTTCCAGGCAAGGTCAACCAGTTTATCCAATCACGACAGGGGGATTCCGGCATCCTTACCCAACAGCTCTGACTGTCAATGCTTCCATGTCAAGGTGAGTTCACACTACTGAGGTCCCGAATCAAGGGCAAATGTAACTCCTCTTAACGTTCTCTGTTGAGAAGCATGTTTCATCTAGAAAAAAAGTAGCTCCTGAAAACATTTGGTTAAGCAGTCATTTTTAGTTTGGCAAAACAGTATCTGCCCACCTGAGGATAATACGGGAGTCTCGGTAACAGTAGCATCAAGGTTTGGGGGTGGGTTGAGGAGGGGGGAGAAGGGAGTGTATTATTTTGAAAGGCCACTAAAGGAGAAACAGAGTACAATATGACGTTGAAAAAGCGAGGAGGAGAAGTCATGACACGTTTTGCTTCCTCAGTGGCTATCATTCAGAGCCACGCTCTGTGCAAGACAGAGGAGGGTGCAGGGTGTGCTATTGTTATTCAAGCAGAGTTGGAAGGAAGGTTATTGTGCTATTTTTCCCCCCTTGCAAAGCTCAAAACGCTGATAGTCAACATAAAAGGACCTGCCTGACCCTCAAAAGCTTCAGAAGTATATATTTCTCCCCCTCCATACCTCCAATTAATTCCAGCTAATTTTCCAGGGGCTCCTAGTTTTATTTACAAACTGGTTGGCAGCACTATGTTTAAGTAATCACTAATTGCTCCTAATGATAGTTTTATTTTCTGTTCATCTGATTTTCAGTCTGGTTAATTAAATCGGTGGAGGTTTAGACTTTCCTGATGGGCTGAAACAGCTAATCCATTTTGATGATGGCACATAATTAAATTAGCATGCATTACATAGCAAGGGTCCACGGCTCCCCCCTTCGGCCCCTCCCTTCCCTCACTGCAGCTAATACATGAAGGTTAGAGTACAGCAGAAGATTTGAGGAGACAAAGGTAACTCCTGGAGTAGTAGAAACCTGTAGCCAGGGCTTGTGAATGACTAGGGAGAGCGTGTGCGCGCATGTGGGGTTTTTTTAAAAAAAAGAAATGCAGTTATAAATGCAGACCTGAGCCTATGGCTCCCACAGATTTTTATTTTTTTTTTTTAAAAAAAAAAAAAAACCTGTGGGAGCCATAGGCTCAGGTCTGCATTTATAACTGCATTTCTTTTTTTTAAAAAAAAGGAATGCAGTTATAAATGCAGACCTGAGCCTATGGCTCCCACAGATTTTTTTTTTTTTTTTTTAAACAAGGTAAAAATGGAGATCTGAAAATCTAAATTTTGTTTAAAAGGACCCAGTGTAGAGTAAAATCCATGCCATGTGGGTGGGGGGGAAGCTGCAGCATTTAAATAATCCCCCTCTTCAGTTCTCACCATATAGATATAAAAAAGATTTTAAGGCATGGGGTGAAGCTGGATTTTAAGCTAATTATTATTACTTAGGCTAGTCTCCCTTTTGGGCAGGGGAGGAGGGGGAAGGTGTCTGTATTCCCAAGACAGACCTTATGAAAGGTATCTAGTTAAAAAGAATACACAGCAAATTAAATACATTATTGTGGTAATGGGACGACAGAAGTACAGGTCTATTATACTTATGGCAGTTATAGGAAATGTAGGCTCCTTGCCCTGTTCCAGCACACCCTTTGATATTCATTCCATTCAGCAGCAGGGCCAGGACTTCTCAGAATTAAGTGATGGGTCATTATACTTTAAACACCATGGAGAAGCCTAGATTGGCAATTAAACAGCACTTGCTGACACTCGCTTGTGCCACCCTGTGACCCCCTTTAGATTGAGATGTTGGAGCTCGGGGCCCTCAGCCTGCTAAATTGGTAGCAGGCACTTCTCCTGACGAGGGCTGGCTCTGAAATCTGCCGGCTTCAAAGGGAGCAAGATCATGTATAAACCATAATGTGGGTGCACCATGGCTCAAAAAATAAGGCAGGAATAGATGAAATGTTACAAGTGCAAGGGGAAAATGAGAGAATAATGACAAATCTAATGCAACTCAAAGCAGAATTGTTGCACAGAAAAATGCATCCCACTGCTTGTGCATAAAATCAAGGCAGGCAGATGACATCCAGTTAACAGAAACATGTCAACAGTGAAGTAAAGTGAGAGTGAGTAAGAGAGAAGCCCCTGAGACAGCCAGGAACAAAAAATTAGTTGTCCTTAACAAGTTAAGGCTCATCATTATATTCTGGCTTGGAGCCATAAAAGCAGACAGGGGTATATAATGAGCTGCTTAGAATTTTTAGGGTGTTTATTGCAATTCGTGGAATACTTGTCTGCAAAAAGGAATGTCTTAGGCAAAGGTGTGTGTGTGCACATATACGGTCTTTTTTTTGTATACATATACACGTACATGTACACACACACCAAGATACACATTTAGAAATATTTATTCGTAGCTTTAGCCTAAAAACCTCTTTTCCATTTAACCTTCTATGGGGAAAACTCCATGAACCGACAACACAACTGCACAGTTTTCTCACGCATACCATCCCAAGTATGCACAGGTATGTAAAACACACACATATATACTTGAGCTTTGTGAGTCTAGTTTTTTCTTCTCGGGTAGTTCACATGTAATCCTGATGTTTCCTCATGAGCTCACCCAAGTATGCTCAAGTTTCTGCAGAGACGCATGGCATGTATAACCACGCTCTATTTTTAAAAGCCCTGCAGTATCTAGGCACGGTAATGGAGAGGGGTTTTGAATTTGTAATGCAAGTGGCTGTGAAATTCATTAGCTACCCTCTCTCCACCTGTAAATGCTATGGAAGATTCCTGGTTGAAACGCACAGTTACCTGCCCTGTAATACTGACTTTTCATGCAGGAGTGGTTTTCTCTGCAACATATTCACAAAGAAGCTTGCAAGCCTAATGATCCCAGTTTGCAATTAATGGTACACTTTATAAATAGTTATTAAATGGGGTCAATCATTTTATTACAAGGTCACCTGTCATTCTAGTGTCTACTGGTTTCTTAGCCATCTATAACTCGTCCTACTCCTCTGCTTATAAGATGACCACCCACAATACTCCTAAGTTTCTGACATCATCTGAGCATTTATTACTCCCTTTAAGCACTTTATAAATATATCCTTAATAAAAACTGTGATCAGCTTAACATGCTAGTGGGCAAACAATACATTCACCTCTAAAGAAGCAGCCAGGGAGGGGAAATTGGTCAATGGTTTAACAGTACACAGCAACGTTGCATAGCAATTAAGCGGTGGCAGTGAAGAATACCTTTTGTAATTGAAATTTCTGGGGGAAATTTAGCTTTGCTGAATGTAATTACACAAGCTGGAATTTAGCCAGGACCTCCTAGGGAACACTCCCCCACACTTCCAGACATGTGACTGGAGAAATAAAGATGGGTCTGATCTGAAGTCAGTGGAAGTGACCCATTGACCCAGGCTTGTGGACCAGGCTTTGAACAATATTTAAAAACCAAAAACATAGGTAGGTGCCTGTAAGGCCAAAGTTCGCTTTAATGGTTGGCTACTTTTTTCTGCTCCTTTGCATTTGCAATTCATCTCCAAAGGAAGCCATTTGTCCTATTCAACCACAAATAGAAATTGCTGGCAAACAGAAAACCTATCTTGGATTGATTGATTCCCTCTCTTCCCCTTGCCCCCCATATTTTTGTTGAAATTTCATAAATTTCACAGACATTAGGGCTGGAAAGGATCTCACAAGATCATCGGGTCCAATTTGGCT